ATATATATATATATATATATATTTTGCATTTTACATCAAAGGTTCTGCTCCCCACAGGACCCCTCGCGGGTAGTAGAGTGCCTTCTTCGGGGTGGGGAGGATGTACTGCCCCTAGTGGAGGAGTTTAAGTATCTTGGTATCTTGTTCACAAATGGGGGAAAGATGGAGGGGGAGATCGATAGGCGGATTGGTGCGGCGTCTGCTGTGAAGCACGTACTGTAACCATCTGTTTTGGTGAAGAGAGACCTGAGCCAAAAAGTTCTCAATTTACCGGTCGATCTACGTTCCTACTCTCATCTATGGTAATGAGCTTTGGTGAGGTGTTCCAGGCACGTCCAACTGGGAGGAGACCGTGGGGGAGACCCAGGACAAGCAGGAGAGACTATGTATCTCAGCTGGCCTGGGAGCACGTTGGGATTCCCCCGGAGGAGATGGCCCAAATGATGGGGGATGCCTGGGCCTCCCTACTGAAGCTGCTACCCCCGTGACCCGACACTGATAAGCGGAAAAAGATGAATGGATGGATAGGCATGTAAGATAAAAAATAAATAATTTTGTCTGTCAATATTTTATGTCCAGAACTCCTCAAGTAGAAATATTTTAGCTTCACCTGGCTTAATATCATAAAAATCTTCTTTAAGGAACCTTTGGGTATCCAATAATTAATCTTGTTCCAAAATAATCACTAGTTGCAGTTCTAGTTTTAACTACAAACTATGTTATGGTTTTTATTTTATACATTAAAATAGTAGCACATAACTGTAAAAAGGGGAGGGAAAAGAAGTGTATTTCTGTAATTATTTTGCCCCTTTTTTCTTTATACATCTAAATAAAATCCAATCCAACCAATTCCCTTCTCACACCACTTTACTAGGAAGATTATACAAGAATATCCCGAGTATCCATTCCGAGTGTGGCTAATGATCTTAGCACAGGGTCTTAAGGGATTAATGACCATCTTTTTATTTAATTTTTAGCATAAAATACTAAGCAAGAGAAATCCATCTTTAATTATGCTGATGAAAACATTTTTCTTTAAATATGCATGAAGCATATGCAAGAAGCATTAGGATAGAATATAAATATCCCTTAGTGTTGCATGGTGGGGGAATTTGGTGCAACAGCATCACAGTGAAAGGCGAATGCAAACAAGTAGATACAAAATATTAGCATAGGAGAAACAGTAAGGGCAAATTTAATAACTGTATGTTCCAACAACTTATTTTTTTATCCTTGGATAAATTGCAGCATTTTAAAAAGAACCATTTTATACATAGGGGAACTTGATGATTGCAGGGCATTTCAACATAATGTAAAATGTTGGCACTCAAATTATTTACCTTAAGCTACTATCGTCTCACTTAATTAATTTCTTTTCACCAGCCTCAGATTGTAAGTAAACACAGAGAAAAAAAGTATGTGTGCCACAGTATTATCTCAGCTTTCCATCCAATTACGCAGGCCAATATTTCAATAGAAGAGAACTAGAGACAGAAGGAGTAGATTTTATTTTAGGAAAGACTGAGAAAACTGAATTTTAGTTTATTTTGGGACAAATAAACTTACCAGTTTCTAAAACATATCCATTTATCCATCTGTCAAAAAAGCTAACATGAAAAAACTGAGAAAACTGTCAAGTTGGATTTGACAATCTCTAGAGCCAAATTGAGCAGCAGTATCTTAATGTCGTCATTTTCAGACCCAACAACACAGCTTGCATGGCCTAACTTTGCTGAGCTTTAGTTGTAGTATAAATTTTACACACATTTTATGAACGCCTGTGTCCAGAAACAAAGCCCCAAGGCTGCACCCTTCTACCAACATGCTTGGCAGGTATTATGAGGTGTTTGTGCTCATAAACAATTTTTGTACTTTAATAGTGATTTTTTTTCTGTGATAATAGACAGAACTGTCTCTTATCACAGAATGTCCGTACTTGGTCTCATCTCTTTAGAAATAAATTTGTTCCAGAAGCCATGCTGTCATATTCATTTCAGTGAGAGGGGAGCTTTTTACTTCCAAGCAAGTCCTATTAGTTTATTAGATATTTACCTAACCTGTAAAAACTTTACAATGTCCTCCATGCTCAATGAAGACGAATGTGTGTGAAT